AGCGGCCATCTTGAGCGACCACTTTATATAGTCACTTCCGTCCACAATTTTAAGACCAAACGCTCCCTCCTGTTTCTTTTTACTCAATGATGACAAGCCTTCCAATATAATCAAGTCTAAAGAAATAATCATAAAAAAGTATACAAAACTAATACTATTTAAACATCAATGAAGTTTTTAAATATTTTTTTTATTATTTATTATAATAATTTTTATTGTACTAGTTACTATATATACAAGATATAATTAAAATAAGATAACAAACTTTAGAGGAGCGAGAATATTACATAATAATAAATATTACTTTTGCATTAAATACAGCGTGTAGCTGAACAGTCATTTCAAGTGCAGTTTACTTCAGCGTACTATCTTAAGGATAGATTCTTGAAGACAGCGTGTAGACGAGGCATAAATCTATAGAGAGAAAGTTACCTCATACGCAAAGAGGACGAGCGGCAAAAGGGGCAAATGCAGAGAAAAGCGAGCGGCAAGAGGGTCAAATGCAGAGAAGGGCGAGCGGAAGAGGGGCAATGATGATGTCATCTGCGAGCAGAAGCTATCTCAGACAGCTACTGTTTGCAAATGAGATCTCATGCTCTCCCCTTCCTTCATCGCCCTCTCGCCATCAAGCTGTTTCTAACTCTCCCCTTACTTCATCGCTTCACGCCACAAGCTGTTTCAAGCTCCCCCCTTCCTTCATCGTCCCTCGTCAACAACCGGTTTTACTGAAGTAACCTTCTCTCTATAGATCTTGGGAGTCATCATACCAACAATATAAACGAGTGGTCAGACAAAGAGAGGTAGTGGGATTGTTTTGATTCATTTCTTTGTAAGCTTATTGAAAACCTCCATTTTTTATATACATATGTGTAGAGTATACATATGAATATATACATGAATAGACTTTAATGAAGAGAGTCTACAACAGAAAAAATTAAATAATCCAAATGCTCTCTTTGTATGATCGCATGTTGAGCAGCACGGCGTTTTCCAGATTGTATAGAGTTCATTGAATTTATGTAAATAATCAAAATATAATAAAAAGAATTTTCACACAACATTTTTTATTTAATAAAAATTGCCAAAAAACGTTTTTATTTTTTTATGATTAAAGTAGGTTTTTCTCGTAAAGTCCAATTCATAAAGACCATTTCCGGCAACAGCATACATATGGGAACTATCAAATTCTAAAGCATATATTGAGCCATTTATATCATACGTCTAAAAATTTTCAAGAGAGTTAATAATAATTCACTAATAAAGTACAAGATACGAAAAATTTGAAAATAATACAAACTTGAA